CAGTCTTTCAATTTATGGCAAAAACCAATAACGTCCTGGTGCCATCAAATTACATTTGAAGACGACATAGCAGAATTAAAAAGTAAGTATCAATCTGTCTTTGACTACAGCACCCTAGGCCTGTGCAAAACAAAAGTCAACATAAAGCTATTGCCAGATGCAAAGCCAGTATTCTTTCCTAAAAGACCAGTTCCCTTCGCAGTAAGGACTGAAATAGAAAATGAACTTCAAAGGCTAGAAAAAGCGGGTATCATTACTCCAGTAAATTCATCAAGATATGCAGCACCAATTGTGGTCAGCAAACGTAATGGAAAAATCAGAATATGTGCAGACTATTCAACAGGTCTCAACTCAATAGTAGAACCAAATCAGTATCCATTACCAACACCCGAGGAAATTTTAGCAGACTGCCACAACTGTGTAATATTTAGTCATCTAGACTTATCAGACGCATACCTCCAAGTCGAAGTCGACGATGAGAGCAAAGAACTGCTCACAATCAATACGCATAAAGGATTGTATAAATTCAACCGTTTAACCCCAGGTATAAAATCAGCTCCAGGAGCATTCCAAAGGATTATGGATGAACTATGCGCTGGTGTCAACGGAGCAAAAGCTTACATAGATGACATCATGCTCGCAAGTGAATCAATTTCTGAACACAAAGAAAATTTAAACAAACTTATTCAAAGAATCCAAGAGTTCGGTTTCAAATTAAAAATTGAAAAATGCAATTTTTTTCAAAAACAAATAAAATATCTTGGACAGATAATCGATAAAGATGGTATCAAGCCAGATCCAAATAAGATCGCAGCCGTTCAAAACTTAAAAATCCCAGAAAACATTTCTGAGGTAAGGTCATTACTAGGCTCTATCAACCATTATGGAAAATATGTAAATAACATGCGAACATTACGTAAACCCCTTGACGACCTATTAAAAAAGGATACAAAATTCGTATGGACACAACAATGCCAAAAATCACTTGACGATTTCAAGAACATATTGACTTCAAATTTGCTTCTCACGCACTATAACCCAAACATGCCTATACACGTCGCAGCTGACGCATCATCCCATGGAATAGGTGCAGTGATATATCATACGTTTCCCGACGGAAGTATGAAGACCATATACCACATATCAAGAGCTCTAACACAAGCTGAAAAGAACTATAGCCAAATAGAGAAGGAAGGATTAGCACTTATATTTGCAGTGCAACGGTTCCATAAAATGTTATTTGGTCGCAAATTTACATTGCACACTGATCACAAACCCCTTTTGGCAATATTCGGTTCAAAGAAAGGAATTCCAGTTTACACAGCAAATCGTTTACAACGATGGGCACTTATATTACTCGCATATGACTTCGAAATCAAATACACAAACACCAAGGACTTTGGTCACGCAGATGTATTATCAAGGCTAGTCAAGAATCACGAAAAACCAACCGACGACTTTATTGTAGCAACAATATCATTCGATGAAGACATACGCAGCGAGGTAAACGAAACCGTATCCGTTCTTCCAATCACCTTCAAAATGATTGTAGATACAACCTCAAACGATGGCGATCTACAAAAGGTAATACAATATATGCAAAACGGTTGGCCTGACAGCAACAAAAATGTTGAACCATCAATTATTCAATTTTACAACCGTAAAGAAAATCTCTCAATTATTCACGGATGCATTCTTTTCAACAACAGAGTTGTTATTCCTCAAAAATATCGGAATAAAATTCTACAACAACTTCATAGAGGACACTTATCATCAGAACGAAGCAAATCAGTTGGCAGAAGTTACGTATATTGGCCAAACATTGACAAACAAATTGAAGACTACGTTCGGAAATGCCAAAAATGTCAACTTTCTTCAAAAAGTCCTGTAAAAACAAATTTATGTCCATGGCCTACGACTACACATCCTCTTGAAAGAATTCACATAGACTATGCAGGTCCAGTAAAAGGAAAATACTATCTCCTAATCATTGATTCATACTCGAAATACCCAGTTATTTACGAGACATCTACAATCACCACATATTCAACAATAAAAATGTTAAACGAATATTGTGCATTCTTCGGAAACCCAGAACAATTAGTCTCAGACAATGGAACACAGTTTTGCTCAGAACAATTTGAAAATTGGTGCAGTAAAAGAGCAATTAAGCACACAAGAACTGTTCGTTTTCATCCAAGTTCCAACGGACAAGCAGAAAGGTTCGTGGATACACTTAAACGTGCATTAAAAAAACTCGAAGGGGAAGAAACTCCTACAGAAGCACTTCAAACATTCCTGGAAGTCTACAGATCTACACCGAATCCAAACTCACCAGAAGGCAAGTCTCCAGCAGAATCATTCATCGGAAGGAAAATGAGAATAATATTAGACTCGATACTGCAGCATGAACCTACCGAACGGGAAATCAATCACAAAATGGAACAGCAGTACAATACCAAACACGGTACAAGATACAGAGAATTCAACAACGGAGATTTGGTCTGGGCAAGGAATTTCAAAGGAAACAAAAGTTATTGGACAACTGGTGAAATCATAGAAAGAAAAGGAAAAGTCATTTACAACGCTCTAATAGACGTTGGAGACAGAAAAATTCTCGTACGAGCTCATACTGATCAACTCAGACACAGAGATGCAGGAACTTCAATCAATGAAGAAACTTCAAAAGTACCCCTGGATATCTTACTCGAAGAGTTCGACATCAATCCACCAGCACAACAAGAAGACTTTGCAACTCCAACGGGTTCTCCACATTGGTCCCCCAAAAGGATTACGACTAGAAGACAACCAGTTGAACCAATTTCAAGATCACCCATTTCATCTTAAGGAGGGAGATGTTAGGGGCAACCCTCATGAACAATATGGCATCTCATATGTTCTATATTAAATATGGCAATACTGGGGAATATGACGCTGAATCGTGCAACCGCCAGTTCAATAAGTCACACATTCTCGCGAATTCCATTTTTATTTTTTAAATTAGTAGCTGTGAACGCTCATCTCAATAAATAAACTTTACGCCTTTAGTAGTATTACAACTCGACTTTTATTTAACAAGGAATAAAAGTACAACATATGGATTGGAAGATAACCTTCAGTACTTTCTGGAAATCGCATGCGCATCAAATGAATTTGAGAATTACGCGATTTAGACGCAATTTATCTCAAAAATAGTGTGAGCTGGCACATCCATGGTTCTTAATGGACCACATTGAAATCGGTATAGATCGATGTATTTTTTTAGGGTGCACACCGAAATCGGATGCCCATTAATCGCATATGGAGTTTTCGGAAATTATTCGCGTTTTACGATTTTTTGGGTACTTCAATGTAACGTGTGGCACATCTTAGCCGTCAAATGAAATTTCGCAAAATATATATGGATTGGAAGATAAACTACAGTACTTCCTGGAAACCGCATGCGCATCAAATGATTTTGAGAATTACGCGATTTACACGCAAGTTAAAATGTATATTTCATAATATTATTTTATTTTAAGATTTATTCCTATTTATAGAACCCTAAGATTTCTCCGAAGGATCTTGATATAATCCGCAAGACGTATACTTATACACAAAAAGTGATTATTATTATATATGTCAATTTATCGGCGAAATTCGGGTAAAATAGCAGAATAACCCCAACGTATTTTTTCTGAAATTTCTTGTATACAATTAAAAAAATTATGATGACATTATTTTTTCGAACCAAAAACAAATATTTTTTCTCAATATCTTGTTTTGTTGTCGCTTTGATTTAGAAACCGCTACACGGACTTGTGTGATTTTGATATCATTTGATTCACCATCGTGTTTAGATTATGTAGATATTTTTAAATTAATTTTTAGGTGTGTGTATGTCATTAATATAATGAAAATATTGATGTCATCTGCTATATTTTTTTATTTTTCTCATATTTCGTGAATATGTGCAACTTTATCGTGATTATTATAATATATTCATATTCTTATTTTACGGAGGAAGATATATATAAACGTTTTTGTTCAATATAATAAACGGCGTAATTTTAAGATTTTTTTCTTATGCCCGAAATTAAAACGTCGATAACTTTTGCGCGCATCACCCAAAAATTTGATCGCGAACGGTTTCGGAGTCAGAACATTTTTCTCTATATGTATACCAAAAATCATTGATGTGCCACAAAAACAAAAAAGCTGATTTTTTGAAAATGGAATATTAAAAAATTGGCAATATTGCCCATATATATATCGCAACATAATCTTAAGAAACATACTTTTTTTATTTTTTACTAAATATATATATTTTTTATCTTATAAAAATAGTTTTATTTCTTTTTTGTTAGTATACATACAAAAGTGTATTTTTTATGTTCATCAATTCACACATTAAACATTACATCATGGCTGATATTTGTGTGTGTGCCACGTGTGAAGTGTTTAACATTAAATTATAAAAAATATTACTTTGACATGCTAATAGTTTTTTTATTCGTTTAATATTTATAACGCTGCCTAATAATTCTACAGATTTTTTTCAATCTAATACAAGCTGCTTTGTATCTAATTCTAAACATTATGATTTAAATTCTCTCTGAATGAAATAATTCAATATTTTTTTATATCGCCAATATTTGTTTTATTAAAATAAACCCCAATTTTGGTCCTTGTTTTATAATGTATATTTAAGTCGATTTTCCTAATATTATTCTAAGAAATTTAATGCACACATTATTTAATATTAATAAAATAATAATAAAAAAACAAACAGAAGAAGAAACACATTAAGCCAATCAGAAAAACAAAAATGGAATATGGAATCATTAAAACTAAAAAAAGAAAAATGGAATTAATCTTGTCCAAATACTTTTGTTTACAAAACTTATGTTAGATTTTCTATGGAATCACTAGATAAAAAAATATGTTTTATAAAAATATATGTATGTTTTTGGTAGAACATTTTTTGTTTAAGTCACTGAAAAATTAGATTTGCTTAGTAGTAAATATTATTTATTTTTGGTGTTCATTGCACGTTTAGTGACTCGACCGAAGAATATACCCAACATAAATACCATACCAACTGCCGTCATTAAAATTACGATAAAGAATTTCTTCGCTGGCGATGTAACAACTTGATTAACTAATTGTTCCATATTTTCCGGTGGTTGAACCAATACCTATTTTGATGAGAAATATTTATGATGTGTGGTGATTGAATAATTAATTAATTTTAATAAATTTTTTTATACTATACATACCGTGTCGGCATTTCGGAACATTTCAATGCGTCTTTGTAGTTTTAGGCGGCAGTCTTCTTCCATGGCTTTTGAATGATCTTGCAAAATTGTTTGCAAACATTTTAGTTCTGAAATAAAAAATGTGGAACGAATAAGTTAAATTTAATAACCTCAAATATTGTACTTTCTGAATTAAATTGGAGACCTAAATTGAATGAAGGGTGACGTAGGGGATGATAGATACCATGCAACGGCTCTGATTGGCTTTAACATGGCAAAACCCGTTGAAATAGTGAGCTGATTTGTGCCGCGTGTTCAGAACCAGAACTCATAAGAGATGACGGTATAGAGTGTATAGCCACCTAGCCAAGATGAGGTCAGAATAGCAATTAATGGGCTGAAGCAGGTGCGATGAATTACCAGCCGAACTATTCAAAACCGGTGGTCAGATGCTGGTCAGGAGCATGCATCAGCTGATTAGTACAATTTGGCTAGAGGAATGCATGTCCTATGATTGGTAATTCAGCATCCTGTGTCCCGTGCACAAAAAAGGATACAGGACGATATGTGCCAACTGTAGAGGAATAAGTCTCCTTCCCATCGCCTATAAAATGCTGTCTAGCATGCTGTTTGAACGACTGAAGCCAATGGTCAATGACATAATTGGACCAAACCAATGCGGCTTAAGGCCTGGCAAATCCACCATTCACCAGATTTTCACTCTCTTTGAAGGGACTACCGCGGTGGTCTTAGGTCCAGGAATCCTTTCAATCAAGAAGCCCCTCACAATATCATTCGGAGAGTTCCTGGAGAACTTCCGGATAAATTTGAGGTTCAAAAGGAACTCCATTTCCGTGATGGAGTATCTATCCCGTCCGATGAATCGTTTGCAGTAGTTAACCGCTCTCCGGTACATCTTCTTTGCAACGATCTCCTTGGCGTTGACTTGCCTTGCAGTTACTGGTACAGATGATTCATCCATCTTTACGACGGGAGTCTCATCAGTACCAGTTTCCCCTTCGACAACCAACTGCCTGAGAAGTCTCGTGACATCACTACAGGCCATGGAGATGGAGTTCGGATCCTCAACCTCGCCAGGGTTTACATCCCTACTTATCATCTGGGGGTCATTTAAGAAGTAGTGACCCAGACCTTTGAGATGGTTATTTAGGGGCGCCATTCTCGTCAGCTCAGGGATCATAGGCACTAGTTCATTTCCTCCGTTATATGGATCTGAAGCATGGGTACTTGCGCAAGCAGATGAAGCAGCATTTGGAGTGTTTAAGAGAAAAATTCCCCGAAAGTTCTATGGGTCGATTTGCGTTGGCGGTGAATATCGCCGTCGAATGAACACTGAGTTGTACCATCAATTGGTACAGCGACTACCCCAGCTTAAAATGCAAGCCAACCGATTTTTTTTATAAACTTTCTTCGAAAAAATATATTTATAGTTAACTCCCTTCTGTTTTGTATAGGGAATTTTTTCTCTGAAGGATAAATCACGTTTCAGAGCGTTTGTGATAGCAAATTTTTGTCATGATAGGATGAACACGAAAATATAGAATTTACCAATAATGATTGGGCGGCTGATAATAACAGTTTGGAATACTTTTCAATACTTACTTCGTCCATTGCCTTTTTTCACATTCGAACAATAACGCAATAAATCATCTGTACACGCTTCTTCGAGTATGGGATCAACGTGTATGTCAGCTTTCGCCTCAGCAATTAAAGTCGCCACCTCCAGGCGGCAATCTCGGTTTACAATTTTCTGATTAAGAAATGCTGTTTTAAGACACTCCTCAACCATGCCATGTTCTTGGACATAATTTTCTGGATTACAAAGGACGGCAATTTCATGTTTACAAAATGTTTGCAACAAGGGATTTAATTTATAATTAAGAGCCTGCTCTTGTAGTATCTTCACCATTTCCTGAGAACATTCTTCGTCCAATAACGATTGGCGGAATTTATCCTTGAGACATTGAATTACCTGAAAATAAAAAATATACATAGATATACATATGTATGTACATATCAATGTCAAAAGTTGTTAACAAAAATTAAAGTTATTTCTTACCTTTCCATTCAATTCCTCATTAGGCTGGGCATTGGCAACTATGTCCGAACAATAACGATCTATATTTTTACCACAATGAAATTGTAGCGAGGGATTAAATCTAAAATCTGTATTCTGTTCAATCATGCGATTTACAACAACCAAATGGCAGCGGGCATCAAATGAAGGATCATCCTTGTAGACTTTCAGACAATCCAATAAACGCATCGGATCCTCTTTGGAACAATATTTATAGGTCATTTCTTTACAAGTATTTACCAATGTGTAGTCGGTTGCACTATCGCCAAGTTCGGATTTTTTGACTAGGAATATGGCATGATGACAGTCACTACCCAATCTGGGTGTATTCAAGGTTAAACATTCCAGAGCCTGTGAAAGCAAAAAACACCAACATATCGATTTTATTTTCAAACCAATTAAATAAAGGAAATGATGGTTTTTGTTATGAAGGACATTAGACGACTATGGTTATGAATGAACATAAACTTGCATTCTTTTTATTCACCTGTCCCGGTCCCTTTTTCTCCCCACAGAATTGTTCCATTTCCTTTTTGCATGCCTTGGCCAATTTTGGATCCAGCTCTAGAGATTCACGCTGCTGATATAATTGCGCCTTGACCTGCTGACGACATTCTTTTGGTATGCGCGGCCGTTGACCACGTATCGTATCGTTACGCATAACTTCGCTCAGACAAGCTACCACATCATTTTTAGTGGTACTACCGGCACAAAAACGTACAACATGTGGACGACAGGCTTCCTTAAACTTATATGTGAAATGATAATTTTTCAGCGAAATAATTTGAAAATGTTCTATAGCTGCACGACATTTTAGATCTTGTCGTAGATCGGCATCATTTTTGTGCGAAATTAAACAATCCATCATATCGCCACGATCTTTTCCACCTTTTAGAATATGATCGCAATGTGTTTTCATAGCCTCAGTGCATACGGACATAATGACGGGATTGAGTTCGACATGTGCTGCTTCTTCTTCGGTATATGATGTAACGGCATCCTAAAAGATAAGAAATGATTACTTAAGCTTAATATCATTCCCTTCTATGTTACTGTGGCCTGGAATCCAACTTAATTTAACTATCTGTTATGTGTCATGTAGAGCCTTAAGGGCCGCCTGACTATCGATATATATAGTCACCGGTCCTATGTTGTCGGCAGTAAGTGTTTTGGCTATCTTAGCCGCTTTCATGATTGCCAGGATTTCTGACTGAAAAAGGCTGCGAAGATCGTTAAGTTTATATGAGTTGTAGATCGCTAGTTCGTTTGCATTAAACGCCTGCACCAATACCTGCCTCCAACATCGACCCGTCTGTAAATATCGACAGACCGGTCAGAGGTAAGCACCCACTTGCCCAGGATTTCCTACTAGGAAACTCTACTTTGATGTCGTTAGTTTGTGGTCGGGGACTGTACGAAGTTTATAAGCAAAATTGCTTATAAATAAATGATGGCATAGCCGAATTCTCGAGTGCAGGTAGTTTTGGCAACACTATGTGTTCTTCCGATTCATACTCAGATTGACCGAAATCGAAGCGATCATTTATTTTTATGACTGTATTCTTATCCACAACATGAACTGGCCATTTCGATGAATTTACAATGCCTCTCTGAATAGATTGCTTGGCATAGTATACAATCCGTTGACGATTATTTTTCATATTTGTGAGCCCCCGGTATTTTGCGGTTTTATTAATTTGTGATTTTTGGACTTGGAAAATTACAATGTTTAAATAAATAAACCTATTAAAAATCCACAATGGAAATTTAAACGCACAATCAAAGAATAATGAAATTATCATTCAAGATAATAGGTATATACAGGAAGCATTATCAACCACTGACTTGGCGTTTGTCTTATTCGATAAAGAGAAATGATATTACCCATATTTGAAAATGTTCTACACCAGCAGATATAGCTACACTCCTATATGCCAAAATTCCCAAACCCCCAAATCTTAACTCACCTTACAAGACTTTTGTAACTTCTCCAAATTAGTTTGTAAACAATCCATTTCCGCACCCTTCTCCGTATGATCAAAACAATAGTATGACAAATCATCAATGCAAGCATCCTCTACTTCGGGTATTAAATCCACCGATACGGCTCTCTGGCGCATAACCCGTTTAACTTCCTTAAAACAAGCTGGCCTCAACGTATTCTGTTCATCCTCACTATAGGCCATACGATGAAGACAGGGCAGAATAAGTGGACCTCTTTCGGGATCCATTTGTATGTCAGCGACATCATCCCATTGTTTTTTAGCATGACAATATTTGATGGCATCATCATGACAATGTTTATACAATTGAGGATCCAATTTAAAATCTCTAGCCACGAAATATTGTATCAGTAGCAGAGAATGTTCACAATCTGGGGTCATTGCTGGTGTACCCAGTTGTTCCATCAGACATGACATTACACGGGCATTACCACCATCCGTGTCTCGACAAGCCAAATCTACTACGGGTTTACAATTACGTCGTAGTACGGGATCTACACGCCAATCTTCTCCCACATCGGAGACCTTAATTAATGTCTCCAGTGACCGTTGACATTGTGATGTGATACGCCTGTCTTTTCGTCGTTTGCGAGCATGTTCCATTAGACAATGGATAATTTCACCTCCCGTTCCTTGACCCATACCAATATTTGACAATTTATCTACATTTCCACAGAACTTTGGTATATCATCTGCGCAATCATTTAAAATTTCCGGAGACAATTGTCCATCGGACATCAACATACGGCGATGATCATCGATTTCAAGACGGCATTCTGGGGAGATTTTCGTACCATTCTTCTCAACTGTCTCCAGACAAAGCAGAATCTGCGCCAAACGCACCTGTTTGTCTTCGGAAACGCCACGACGGCAATGATGCTGCTTAATATCGTCTTTGCATGCTTTCGCCAGACCATGGGATACTCGATAGTCCTTAGCAATTTCACGATCTCGCTGACTAATTTGATCGGCACAACGGGTAGTCATCCCAGGATTTCCCTTATTTTTAACCAAACACTTAAAAGCTCCCGGCGTTCTTGTCACCTCTTCGGGACACAAATGTTTGAGGTCTTCCGAGCAAATATCAAAGAACCGCAAGTCTTCATTTTGCTGTTCTATACGAGCAACAGCCGCTTTACATGGTTGGCCCAAAACATCAGCACCCGTCTGCAATAGACACTCGGCAGTTTCAAGTTGTGATATGGATCTGTGTTCGATATTCAGGCGTCCACATTCTAGTTGCTGTAATTCCATGGAACAGCTATTGAAGAAATCTCCCAAATTATCAAAGTCCGGGAACAGCACGACGCTGACTCTCTTTATGTATGAACGACATTTGTTGCCATGTTCCATTAGCTGTGCTCGATCCTTAATGCAGGACCATATATCAACAGCATTGATACACGATTCAAGTTTATCTCTCTCCTTCATACATGTCTTCTTCAAGAGATTATCTTCAATCCACTTATTGTTCAGCAACTCTTTAGTTTCATGCCACACCGCATGTTGACACTTATCAGACAGGGCCTCCAATTGGCTCGATGTAAATGTGGCCACGCATTCTAAGACCGAAAGGTTATCAGTCGATTTGATGTGCGTGCAGAGCGTTTTCAGATCTTCACAATCACGATTGTCAATAAGGGTGTGATCCCTTACAGCTGAGTTGGCATTATCCACAGCAGCTCGTATTTGTCGTTGGGCATGTCTGAGCGCTTCCTCATACCGTTCTTGTGCTGCGACTGTTGCTTCACATATTAAGCCGGTAAATAATAGCGTTAATATCGCTTTATATAACATATTTTCAACGCTTAAAATCGGGCAATAATCATTTGTTGCTTTTTGTTGTGGAGACAAGAATTTCAGTTTTTCCGAATTGCTAGCTAATTGTTGATTATTTGTACTTTTTGTTAATACTTCTAAAACTTGTCGTCGTCGTAATGCAATGCAATACAATAAATGAGAACGCAAGAACATTCGCGTTCTCTTAACCAACCAAAATGAAAAGCGTTCCACATCCTACGTATAGAAAGAGAATGCACACGAAAAATGGAACTCAAAGCAAAATTGACGAAAATGACCATTTGATTACGAATGAGGTATGATGGACATGGTTGAGGAATGGCTATTGTTTAGAACGAGACATGGGAGACGAGGCGTTAAGCGATTTAGATTGTCGTGTTATCGATATGATTTAATAACGAATTTTCATGAATTTTGAATAGGAATTTTAAATATTAGTCTTGATTTAGATTAGGCGAGTTTTCTTGCGGCAATTCTTGTCGTTCTCTTTTGAACTTGCTTCATGCGTCTATACAAGGCAATTCGGTTTCCAAAATATGTTTCTATATGTTGTTTTTTCACATTTAAATATATATAAAACGTCAACAAATACGAAATACACAAAACAAATTGCCAGAAAATTGTCGGTACGAGCATTTTTTTTCATTTCTATTCCCCTTGCCCCTCTCTCTTACAAACAAAGACTTGCCGCAAGTAAACTCGCCTAATCTAAATTAGGACTTAATAAAATTAACGATGTAAAAGAAAAGTGCTAGAGAACTATTAAAATTAACGATGTTTTATCGTTCTCTTTTGAAAGCGTCTATACAAGGCAATTCGGTTTCCAAAAAATTTTTTTATTTGTTGTTTTTTCACATTTAAATATATATAAAATGTCAACAAATACGAAATACACAAAACGAATTGCCAGAAAATTGTCGGTACGAGCAATTTTTTTCATTTCTATACACCTTGCCCCTCTCCTACAAACAAAGACTTGCCGCAAGTAAACTCGCCTAATCTAAATCAAGACATATATGTCGGAACTCGGTGTGAATATAATGGGAAATTCGTTCCTCTAGAGAAATGAAACGACAAATGGTCATTTTCTAGTCCGTTTCTCATTCTTATCTTCAGTTTCGTTCGGTTATAATTTTCACATTTTCGTGAAAATTTCGGTAGTTATAATTATTGCGTTTGAAAATTTAATCTGGCTTATTCCAGATATTCGCTAGGGAGATATTTCTCTCTTGTGATAAACTTTTCGCCTTCACATTTTCGCAATATTCTGAATGAATATGGAGAAGGTGATTGAAAAAGATTTTTGTTGCCTTATTCTAATTTAAGTTGCAATGTGTGTTGACCCATTGTGATTTAATTTTGTAATAGTTTTGAATATTATTTTTTTTTAATTGTTAATTTCAGAAAATTTCGCACAAAATGTCATCACATTCTCCCACTCCCTTTAATCCAGAATAACAAATTTTTCATCAAAGTCCGCTTTTTCATAGGCAAATTTAGTCTCCTGCTAGGCTTGTCTTGCCGGGTGGCGGATGGGAAGGGGGTCTCCATGATGTGCAGAGTGAAACTGACCTAGGTCTCCTAGATCAACTTTTCTCTGCACTTCGTGGAAACCTTGGGGTTCTTCGTATCCCCCGTGGACCAAAATGGATCGGGGTAGTGCCCTTAAATAAATCAACTACGATGAGTAAAAGAAGTAAAAAGAATAAAGTTACGGTGCAGGGAGTGAATAACCCAGTACCGGCGGCAATCGTTGGTGAGGTCACAAGCCACGAATCGTCGAGATCATCTGTTAAAAGTGCATCAATTAAAAACCAAAACGTTGACGAATCGGCTATTCCTTTGGCAAATGAGCATGTTAAGATTGATGAAAATCAGTCTCTGGCTGACAGGGCTGTAGTACTGGGAGGGGACGACCTACACTGGACTCTGAGCGCTATCCGCGATAGTCTAGGGGAGCAAAGTATGGAACTCTTCGACCAGTTGGACAGACTGGTACCGGAGGAGCAATGTGGGGATACGCTTCCGTAATGAGCTGGACACCACGGTGATCCCAGCCAAGTTTACACAGGGGGATTGCTGTAGTATCAACGAAGGAAGCGCAGACCCTCTTGACCGACCGACTTCAAGTCTGACTACAACAGGTCCTGTGTCGGCACATGCCGACAAACTTCAGAGGCAATCTGCGACGGAGGCGATGTCCGACGATGGGGAATCTGTCGAGACTGATGCGAAGCATTAAAAACGTGCTGTTTCGTATCTCCGCAAATTCGTGGGACGAGACGCGAATTTGATCTCGGAGAGGGAGGTACACCTCATCAAGGGTAAGAGGAGATACGCAAAAAGCGCGGTATAAACAGAAAAAAGTTAAGTGTTTTGGAAACTTCCATCTATGTTATGAACACATGTAAAATTTTGTTTCGATCAGACAACTCCTTCATATAGAAATAAGTGTTCAAAAAAGATGCATCCGCAATTATTTACAATGGAAAAATTAGAAATGCGTGCTTTCATTGTAAAAAAATTGCGATGCATCTTTTTTGAACACAGAGTTGCCAGATCGAAACAAAATTTAACATGTGTTTATAACAGAGATGGAAGTTTCCAAAACACTTAACTTTTTTCTGTTTATACCGCGCTTTTTGTGCTAGGCTAAGAACTTTCCGAACTGCCCTCGTAACTGTCCACGCTAGCGATTTCTGGCACGTTTTTCAAACAAATTGTTTATAATTTTGGTATTTTGAGTTTTCATTGGGTAGCAAATGTTTCTACCACTGTTTAAGGCAGCTCCCATATAACAACACCCCTCATTATTCGGAATATTGGGGAGATTGGAATAAAAATGGGTATCATTTTTAAAGCGGTTAAGGTTCCATAAAGAAGTGTGCCAATAGTTTATTTGGATGCTAACACAGATTCCGGACAGCTTTACCTTCAAAAGTTTTACGTAACGGTATCTTTTTAAATGAAAAGTTAAAAATTTTTTAAATCAGGTAAATAGCATTAGATATTTTTATATTCGACATCGGTCCTTAAATTTGACTTAAGCCGAAAGTTAAGTATCTTCAAACTAACTTTTAAAAGTTTACTTTATGTTGTATTTTTATTTATTTTTTTTTTTACTTGATTTTACTATTTTTCTCTCAAAGGCAGTTAATGAGTAAATTTTACTTGGTAAGTACAATAACAAACATATTATATAAAATGTTATATAAATTACTAAAACTCAATATTCGGTCTATCCAATTTGTAATTTTCTGGGTCATCTATTGTAACGGTCAGCTCTTTTAGAACATCATAATCATTGGTGACGTCACTATTTATGTGGAAGTATGGGCCGTCCTCATCTAATAAGTAAACAATTATGTAAACAGAATAATAACTTAAAAATTTCATTATATGTAATACCATACCTTTCATTGGTAATATTTCCATATTATTTTCCAAACTTGGTTTACCCGTAATGGCAAACGATGTCCAAAGTTGAACCATATTTTTGGCAACTTTAGTATCGGCTTCATTTAGTTTATGGGTGGAAAACAAATAAATATTGTCATTCGAGTGATGAACACCACCCTCAAAGGGATAATGCTCATTGCCAAATTCATAACCAAAGCGTGTATTGCTGCCTTCATAATCGAAACTGTATAAATAAACAGGTGCCAAGGCTTTTTGCAACATCCTGGTGGCTAAAGTAATAACTGGAGATTTCATAGAAACAATATTTGTCAACTGAAATGTTGATACAGTGGTTTTAAGTTAATTTATTGTTTTGTTTAAATTTTTATGATTACTTACATCAAAATAAGCTGGGAGGGCCTTTTTGTGATCTGTGCTCTGCAGTAGCTCATTGGTAAATAACATCTTGAATAGCAAATTATTGGCAAGGCCAGTATTATCCTTTGCCATATCCATAATAATATTGGTAAACTGTCTCACCGTAATATAACTAAAATTACCAATGGCAGCCTTAACACCATCGTATACAGCTAGATAAAAAAATCAGATATTATTAAAAAAGAATAGATATTTTTCATTTGGAAATGTAGTGCATAAATAGAATTAGGATAGTACATCGATAGAATGAATAATATAAATTCAATCATCACACTTTCTATATATTCCGAGGATCATAGTACTTACATGCCAGTACAAACGATCCATCGTGTTTTGTAAAGCCCGTCATCAATGGTATCGATCTATTTAACTCGGCAATAAGTTCTGCAGGTTCACGAGGCAATATACCATAAAAATCGCCAATGATTGGTGAAAAAGATTCCTAATTACAATATAAATACGGTGTAGAAACACTGACTATTATTTTTAATAAAAAAAGTCACCATATACCTGCTCGGTAACTTCCAGAATTTTCGGTACTGTTACATTACGCAAACACACATACAATAGATCGATATTTTCACAAAATTTGCAACCAACTGCATTACATATGCGCTCAGCCTGTTCCATGGGATTACGTGTAATGGCCCACGAGGAAAATATTGAACCCGATTGTTGTATAGAACGTTGAAAATATGTTTCGGGAGTTTTTGGACTAAACAATAACGATCCGGACATTGTTGTGCCAGCACTTTGACCAAATATTGTAACTTGTTTGGGATCACCACCAAATAGATGTATATAATCCTGTACCCACTGCAATGCTACATAAAGATCACTGATCGGAGCATTTCCTGGCATATTCTCTGTTCTGGTTGATAGCCAACCCAATGCACCAACACGATAATTGGGTACAACCAAAACAATATCTTTCTCTAGTAAATGATTGGGAGGATGATCGATATTTGAACCATTGTAAAAACCGCCTCCGTATATATAAAACATTACAGGTTTTAGATCTGTCAGCTGTAACAAGAAACTTTTGGGTCAATATATTTCACATTTGGAATTAATATTTCAAATAGTCGCACATTTTTGGTATAGACACACAAGTTTAGACAATCTTCCAAATCCTGACTGAGTTCAGTTTCTTTTAATTCTCTAATTGTGGTTATAACTGGGCAACGACGTCCGTGGGTTGTGGCATCAAAAACATGTCTCCAGGGTAGTTTTTTGACAGCATGCTGAAATTATAAAAAAAACATTTGAAGGGAATAACTGGTTTATAAAAATTCAATTTGTATTAAAAGCAAATCAACATAATAATTTGAATACTACTCATGACTTTATTTGACTTGTTTTCCACCTCACCTTAAATCTTAAATCCCTACTGGGAGACTCAGCATATGGTATACCCAAAAATTTCATAAATGTCTGGTTTGTCCATGACGTTGTTCCATAAGCACCCAAAATTGTACCTTGACCCGGCAAATCTACAGTAACAGACGATTGTGTTGACGATGACGAACCATGAAAAGTGGACACAGCCAATACGGCTACTAAACAAAATACCACAATACGCATAGCGAGCACACCGAATGTTTTAATAAAACTGAATACCATTGATCTCTTTGTTTAAAAAAAATATATATGTATTTAACAAAACACTTGTCAACTAGTAAAGTTTTGCTACTCTCTTTTAATGTTGAATGTGCCTTTTGATAAGGTCCAAAATATACTCAACACCATTCAAATCAAGTATATGAGGTTTGCCATCAAGTGTTTGCTAATAAAAATTAGTTGTACAAATAGATAAGCGCGATCACAAACAGCAATCTTTATTGGGCGGGGAGAATTGTTTTATGAGAATATTAAATGACTAAGATTTTACATTAATTAATCTATAAATTTAGACTATAAGAATGAAAGAAATAGTAAGTCGTATAGGAGCATCGGCATTTCATTTATTGTGTTGTTTAGAGAAATTCAATTGATTGTCACGATTCCGTTACTATTAAATTATATGATTTTAAAGAGTGAGATATGAATGTTTCAAGATGGAATCCCGAAGAATTTAAAATACTTCACTACGTTGGGTATTTACATATGTATCCACAAATAATTGCATGTCAGTGTTGCTTCGGTGGGAATTGAATGAATTTAAATATGTGATCTTTATCTATAAATGAACCGACTAACATCAATCCATACACTAGCCATTCTGCAATCTATGCTACACAAAGACATAATACCCCACAGTGTGGTGAAGGGTATAAAAACAGCAAAATTGTTAGCAATCAACTTGTTGGAAAATTTTTCCAAGTTGTACCTTCTTTAAAAGTCTCTTAGCACCAAAAATTCCAACGTATCCACGGTAGAGGGATCTACGATCCGAAACGACACGAATCTTTCCCGGCCAGCACGTCTGCTATTTCAGACCATTGTGTAAATGCAAAACGGCTGCTACAACAACAAAAACTTATCCACGAAAGAGGGATGTACGACCCGAACCTCATTCAGCCAACGTCTGTCGCCTCAGACCATTGTGGTGTAAAAGCAGTATGACAGGTACAACAAAACAAAAGATTACAGAAATTGTTGTGCAGTATCAGTGCAAGTACTAAAACCAACTGAAATAATTATTGTTAAATTTTATTACAGCAAACTCAGGCGGAAGGTATTGTTCAGTATATTTTTTGATAAAAAGTGGGCGTTATTGTTGACATATTAGCTTATGTAGCATATAGATATAATTTTGAATTTTTACATTCAAGAATAGATTTAGTTCATCAGAAGTCAACATGATATAAAAATACATTATATTGTGGGGTACTAATATTATTTTGATTGGTTTAATTTGTAGAAAATTTGACAATGTTACGGGATATTATTATTAGTTTTTATAAATTAAAAAAATGTTTAGGATATATATGTTCTGATAAAATCTTTAGGGAATTTAGGCCTATTTATAATATTTGTATTGTTTTGTTTTGGAAACTCCATCAAACCGTTAAATATTTGAGGGTAATACCAAAATTTTTAGAACCGGTTATTTCTAGACTTTTTCTTAATTAACAAAATAATTATTTGTTGGAAGTTATTCCATTATTAAAAATGTATATGATGTGTTCACTAATATTTAATATACACTCCACCTTATGATGGAGTGTATCAAAAGTGTAGTATGTATGGGATATCGAGGTTGTGGAGTGCTATGGAAATATAATGAATTGAAGGGAAACGAGCATGCACTTTACTTTCGATAAACGGAACTGCATTCCTCAATCTCTGACATCATGTAATTTAACATGAATCCGCAACAATTAACATAAGGCAATGCAAGTAAACATAAACCTACATACCGCAGACGAACAGAGATGTCCTAACATAAAAAATTCGGGGTGCCAACAAAAATGTAAAAATTAGGTATTACTAAGTGTCTACATGCGCCACTACATATAACCCCCGCCAAAATCAGGCTTAACTGCTGAAAGTAGAGTTAAGGCTGATACCGCATGTAGATACTTTTCATTGTCTTATATCCTTTGCGTGGTAGGTGCCAATTAATTTGCCTTGGAAATCCTCAAGTTCATAATAACAGTTCCCACACTTACGACGAACTCTACATTTTATAAAAGTTGGTGCTAATTTAGCGTTGTATCCTTTTTCGAAGTTACTCTGGCTAAAGTTCCTTCTAAAAACTTCTTGGCCGACTTTATATGACACTTCACGTGATCTAAGGTTGTATTGCTTCCGCTCGTAAACTGTAAACTTTTTCACTGGACGAAGAAAACAAAACTTTGAGAAATGGTCAAGGACAATACATATCCCTATATATCCGGTACGTGATCTTGGGTGAGGTCCTAGGAAATCCACGTACAATCTTTGGGAAAACCTATGAGTCATACCTGTATCTCCTATAGGTGGTCGCATAGTGAAATTAGGATGTTTTGTACTTTTGCACACCTCGCACGAATTTATATAATTTTTAACATCAAAAATGAGATTTGGCCAAAAATAACAACGTCGTATACGTTCCAGAGTTTTACCAATACCACAGTGAGAAGACAAGGGATCATCGTGATGTTTACGAAGGACTTCGGGAACCATGCTCGGTGGAATCCAGAGCTTCCATGCCGAATCGTCAATAAGTGGATCGCCTACAGCATGATCTGTTCGTCGATATAAATAACCGTCAATTATTTTCAGATCGGGAGTAAATTTCATGTTACTTTCAACCCTCCTTAAAAGGTCTTTGTACTCCTCTGAGGAAAAATGTTCGGAATTCAAATCCACAAAAACACCATGGGTATTCGCCACTTCAGATAACCAGTGAATCTCAGAGAGATATTCAGTGTTGGTACGCGAAAGCGCATCAGGAACTACATTCTGCGAGCCTTTCCGATGCTCTATTTTGAACCGATAACATTGAAGTTTTAATGCCCACCTAGCCAGCCTTGTGCTTAAGTCGGTTTGGGACATGAGTCATTTAAGAGAAGCATGATCGGTGATCACCGTGACCTCATGTCCCTCGACATAAGCTCTAAACTTTTTGATGCAAAGCATTGCTGCTAAGCATTCCTGTTCGGCGACGCTATAGTTACGTTGGGCTTGGTTGAGTTTCTTAGACATAAAAGCTATGGGAAACTCGTCACCCTCCGTATTCCTTTGCACCAAAACTCCTCCTATTCCTGTCTTGCTTGCATCGCAGTGTATGAAAAACGGCTGTGTGAAGTCAGGACTATGCAAGACAGGGGCTGTGCTAAGAATGGATTTCAACTCTTCAAATGATTTTTGGGCCTCATTGGTCCATATAAATTTACGATTAGATTTTAATAAGTCAGTTAAAGGGCTCGAAATAGCAGCGTAGTTCCAAATTAACCTTTGGTACCAACCTGACATACCTAACAGATCTTAACAGATCTCGGGGTTGGGAAATCGGTTATAGCCGAAATTTTATCCGGATCTGTACGAATGGTAACTTCCCCTACTACGTGACCCAAATAGCGAACTTCCTTCATGCAAAATTTACTCTTTTCAACATTTATAGTGAGTCCTGCCATTCTATGAAAATTAGCTACCTTCAATACTTCCATATGTCTCTCGAAGGTTGGAGATACCACTAGTAGATCATCCAGGTAGACCAAAACCTCAGTCCTGAGAGACGCTGGTATCACTCTATCCATGAGTCGGCACATGGTTTGCGGCGTATTGCATAAGCCGAACGGCATTACTTTAAAATGATAGAGCGGTCTCCCAGGAACTTTGAATGCAGTCTTCTTTCGACGATTCGTCTAGACTCAAAATACCTTCTATATGCGGAAGTGGGTAGGCATCCCCTTCCGTCACGGCGTTCAGCTTCCTACTATCGAGGCACAAACGATTCTTCCCTGGTTTCCTATGAAGAGCAATGGGAGAGGACCAAGGACTTGAAGACTCTTCTATAACTCCCATTGCTAACATTCGGTCCAGTTCATCATAAATCAGTTTCTCGATCGCCGGAGAGACAGGGAAATGCCTCTGCTTTATAGGCGTCGCAGAGCCAGTATTTATTGTATGGCAAAGTAGACTAGTTTTCCCTAGACCCTCTTTCGCGAACGAAGGAAACTGATTTATGGCGGACTGAAGTAAATATTTTTGATCTGTCGTTAGTTGTCTTTGATCCAAGGGATTACTGTTATTAAGGCTAAGTGCTAAACTTGAAATATTGTTCAACAAGGATGTTGGAAGAAGATTGAATCGCATCCAAAAATCTATTCCCAATATTAAATTTTGAGACAAATTCGGTACTATGTAAATAGTTATTGGCTGACTTTCCCCTCGAAATACAATAGTTGTCGTAAACACACCAGCTATTTTCTGTGGTTTACCATCAGCTGTGTTTACAGTGGTATTTAATTTTATATAAGGGATATCCGACGATAAAAAATCGACAGCTGCTTGTGAACCAAGGCATGAAACCGAGGCACCAGTATCTAACAAACCTACCATTAATTTATTTAATAAACGCACCTCTGCATAAGGGCGAATGTCCCCACATTTTTCCAAAACAGATATGGTGAAATTTTTCTTAACGTTCTTCACATTCCTCCAAAATGCCTTAATTATTTTCTTCGATCTGGATATTTTTGGCTCTTGATTAAAAATTCGATCCCTTATCATCATTATACCTCTCTAATCTTACATGAAAAGGAACCATAGGACTAGGTCCTTTACACCCTGGAGAATAATTTATATCTTGTTCTGGTTTATTACTGTGGTATTCGTCCGTTATTTCGGGACATTCAGGGTAAAAATTAGTTTTTTCATCGCAATTAGTGTTTTCATTGTTATTATTAGAAGTGCATCGGGTCAGAATCCTTTCATCGTTTGGGAAGCCTGCTGACAGGTCTTCGGTTTGGGTGCACTTTTCAGTGCAGGACTCTGCAAGTTTTTTGAAAAGGTATTACATTTCCCACAATTGGGTTTGTACACTTGTGGAGATCCACATCCATAGCAGAACACCGTTCGATCCGATAAACATTCCTGATATCGGTGTCCTGGTTTCCTACAGTTCCAGCACACAATGGATAATTCGGAAAACTCTTCGTATTGTAATAAGTCTCTATCATTTTCCTCAGCATAATCTAC